TTTGCGAGACAGGACTTCAGTGACTCTCAAGGTGGTCCTAGTGGCATTAAGAAACAGAGAAGAGAAGCAACCCCAGAAAAGCAATTGGTACCTGAGGTGTTGCTGGAAGGGGATTCCCCTTCCAAACTATAAACAATCCACTCTCTCTCCTCCTCCAGTCTCCCATACACTAAGAAGAATCTCCAATAAAAGTAAATGTTATGCTGTTAATGTTTCATTCATCATTTCCCATTGTATTGTTTATGTACTACATGCATATTTCATGTAAAAAAAATTTTTGTTTTAATACTTCTGGGTGTCAGGAACGGATTAATTGTATTTACATTATTTCTTATGGGGAAAATTGATTCGCAAATCGTAAATTTTGTTTATAGTAGCTCCTCCAGGAACGGATTAATTACGAAAAACGGGGGACCACTGTATAATACTATGTAATACTATTCTCCTTGTATCCCATCTACCTTTTACTCTCAGTGTAGCTACAACTAGAAAGTGATCTGATATATCTGTGGCCCCTCTATAAACATGTACATCCTGAAGTCTACTCAATAGTCTTTTATCTACCAATACATAATCCAACAAACTACTGTCATTTTGTCCTACATCATATCTTGTATACTTATTTATCCTCTTTTTCTTAAAATATGTATTACCTATAACTAAACCCCTTTCTATACAAAGTTCAATCAAAGGGCTCCCATTATCATTTACACCTGGCACCCCAAACTTACCTACCACACCCTCTCTAAAAGTTTCTCCTACTTTAGCATTCAGGTCCCCTACCACAATTACTCTCTCACTTGGTTCAAAGGCTCCTGTACATTCACTTAACATCTCCCAAAATCTCTCTCTCTCCTCTGCATTCCTCTCTTCTCCAGGTGCATACACGCTTATTATGACCCACTTCTCGCATCCAACCTTTACTTTAATCCACATAATTCTTGAATTTACACATTCATATTCTCTTTTCTCCTTCCATAACTGATCATTCAACATTACTGCTACCCCTTCCTTTGCTCTAACTCTCTCAGATACTCCAGATTTAATCCCATTTATTTCCCCCCACTGAAACTCCCCTACCCCCTTCAGCTTTGTTTCGCTTAGGGCCAGGACATCCAACTTCTTTTCATTCATAACATCAGCAATCATCTGTTTCTTGTCATCCGCACTACATCCACACACATTCAAGCATCCCAGTTTTATATAGTTTTTCTTCTTCTCTTTTTAGTAAATGTCTACAGGAGAAGGGGTTACTAGCCCATTGCTCCCGGCATTTTAGTCGCCTCATACGACACGCATGGCTTACGGAGGAAAGATTCTTTTCCACTTCCCCATGGACAATAGAAGAAATAAAGAAGAACAAGAGCTATTTAGAAAAAGGAGAAAAACCTAGATGTATGTATATATATATATGCATGTGCGTGTCTGTGAAGTGTGACCAAAGTGTAAGTAGGAGTAGCAAGATATCCCTGTTATCTAGCGTGTTTATGAGACAGAAAAAGAAACCAGCAATCCTACCATCATGCAAAACAGTTACAGGTTTCTGTTTCACAGTCATCTGGCAGGACGGTAGTACTTCCCTGGGTGGTTGCTGTCTACCAACCTACTACCTATACCAACCTACTACCTACTACACTTTATTATTTAGAAAATTTAAAATATAAAACACTTAAATATGAAATATTAATCCTACCTTAAAGAAAATGAAAAATATAAATGATATCTGAATTCAACGCTAATATATATATATATAAAACTTGGGTGTCTGGTGTTGGTGACACTGCGTGTTGTTGAAATCGTAGCCGTTGCCGATGATTGGGGGGGGTCTCAGGTGTTGATGACAACCCACCGGCTCGTTCTTCACAGATTTTCTAGCCGTCAATAATCCGTTCAGATGACAGGAAAGCAGGTTTTTTTTCCACTGCAATGATGAGGGGTTATATCCTGCTACTTGCATACACAAACAGGTAAGTGGATCAGAATTTGGGACGTCTCAGAACGTTAGTCCGTCTCCTTCAATTCTACTCGTTGATTAGCAGGTGACCCTCTCTGTCCTTTCAAGGTGTAAAGAGAGACAGATTACCCACTGCTTAAGAAATCACTCTCCATGATAAGTACAATACCTAAAAGATGTGGTGATTATTAAAACATTTTAATCTATCAAGACTGAAAGGACTAAGTTAATTATTGGTCAAAAGTGAAGCTTTCAACCAATAAGTCCACTAGAATATGAGCAGGCATGTACTTACAGTAGTGTTGGGAGCTGTGAGTCGAGTGATTTACTGTTTGACCGGAGCCCCACATGTCACCTTTCGGGGGGGGGGGGAGAGGTAGGGGAAGGGATAGCAGGAGCTAGACTGACCCTACCTTAACAAGCAGCTGGCAATCAAACTATCACTTTCGGGGAGGGGGAAAAAGGGGGGGGGAAATAGCGGGAGCTGGACTTACCCTACCTTAACAAGTAGCCGGCAATGAAACTATTGTTACTATATACTCCCTCGCTACTCCTGTCTATTGAACTTTTCCCTCACACTGATTTATATTGTAAAACACTAGTTTTACAGCTTTTTTCGAAGGACCTTGGCTCGTAGGTTATTTGTACACTGTAGTACAACATATTTGGACCACAGTGTGGCCTTTATCCGGTTCGAGCATGACCAAAATGTTGAGAAATGGCTTTACCAACTAAGATATAATTTATAATTTTTAAATATAGGGAACACTTAGCTGATGAAAGACAGCAAATCGTCTACACAGCCTCCCCTGCAGATGAGGTCTTGAAATGTTGTCATGATCATCTCTCAACGGGCTGGAATGAGTCATATTATGTAAACAATAAATTACCCCTAGGGGGTGTTATGTCAGCATATTTCATTCACTGATGGCTGACAAACTTACTTGTGTGGACTCAAAAGTCCGCACCTAACTGCCGACTATAGGTTGATTACAAACTCCTTGCGACTCAAGAACTGCGCAGTCCCCCGTACTACAAGAAATTCGTAACCTACCTTGCTCTTGTAGCGTGAGCTATGGTGTTCTTCACACCTTCGACAGGTATCGGTGACTTGATAGACGCTGAAGTGTCCTTGGATGTCCATGTCTTCCATAGTCTAGGAATACGCACACTGGTACACTATGTTCCACAAGATTTGTCTTTATTGTTCACAATCTTATCACTAAAGAAGCTGATCACACTTCTCTTAAGTGTTTATTGTTTTATGAGACACTTTGTTCACACTAACGCACAGATCATTCTTTGTTGGTTATCCTGGCGTCAGTGTCACTCTCAGTAGAGTCAAAAGTAATCTGAAGATGCCACAACGCCCCACGCCGTCACTGCCCCCAGCACAAAGGAAAAGCTGACCTAGTACTTTTGCTTCCTTGCCACTTCCTCGATGAAGCAAAGCAGAATGTTTGATTCTTGCTGTCTTAAGCGTAGACAACAATATACACTATCTCTACCATGGTAATAAAGTGGGAGCAGGATTTTCCTTAATTGTCCTGCTAAGGTAAGAGATGTACTGTCTCTTATTAAAATACACTCTGCAACACTGGACTGCAAGGAGCGGCGGTCGCTTGACCACGTCGCATACTCGTACTGCATCTGCGATCAGTTACTCGCTGTAGCAGTAAACAAGATATTTGCCCCTTCTGAGAGGGCTGGGCCCCTCAGGGCTGAAAGGGGCTGATACCCCCCTCCTGGAGAAAATTTCTCCACAGTTTGTTTACTTTTGAACATCGGCGAAAATCAAACATTTCCCCTACTTTGAGCTCCATTTCAAGGTTCTTTTTATAGTAAAACCAATCAAAATCACCTCTATTTGTATAATATGTTTTCCATTCTATCAAATGAGACCAAGAAAATGAGAATACAACCATAAATACATACTATACGAAAATAGACCACAAAGTCGGCATTTTAATTAAAAAAAACGGTCGTTTTTTTTCTTTTCTCATTATGCACTGCGTGCTCCAGGATTTTTTTTATATGGTGCACACTGAAAACACAGACCCATTCTCTCACATGCGAGCCTACCAGCTTTCTCTTGCTTGATTTGAAGCCGCTAGAATATGTGAGTATATATACAGTGGACCCCCGGTTTACGATATTTTTTCATTCCAGAAGTATGTTCAGGTGCCAGTACTGACCGAATTTGTTCCCCTAAGGAATATTGTGAATTAGATTAGTCCATTTCAGACCCCCAAACATACACGTACAAACGCACTTACATAAATACACTTACATAATTGGTCGCATTTGGAGGTGATCGTAAAGCGGGGGTCCACTGTACGTCAAACACGGTACCTCGTAACACGTATACTTTATACGACCAAAACAGTCAAAGGGTTAATGCCTAATTCTATTGCTAACTTAATATATGTTAGTGTAAACTTGTTAACTGACATTTATATGCATTTACAAGTGGAAAAAATGGTGTTCTGCTTTCCGGCAATGTCTCCTTTCCAGCAGTAGCCTGGAACCTAACCTGCCGTTCAAGTGGGGCCCTACTGTATTGTATGTTTATTCCTTGTATGTCCTAGAAATATTTTTACAATTATCTTTCTACCCTGATGACTCTTCCCTGGTCACTGTATGACCCTTACAGGTTTAACTCTTCCCTATCCTTATATTTACCTGGGAAGGACTAATTATGTATTGACAGCTTAGACTTTAATAAATGACATTGTTAAAACTTTATACTATTTTTTTCCCTTGAGGGAGAGATGGTGTTGTAGTGTTAATGATCCAAGAAATTTAAATCTGCACTCCCCTTCCTAGGATCAAACTTAGTTACCACATCAATATAATATGGGTCTCAAAAATATTACTCATTTCTTGTAAAAAAAAAATTGAGGGTACTCCTAGAGCGTTGTCACTTCTAGGAAGCTAATGACTAAATGATGGTGACTGTGTTTTCTTCTCTGAGTTGCCCTGCCTTGGCCAGAGATGGTCTTGTAGCTCAAGTGTTGGTGTACATCACATAATTTTGGCGCCGCAGGACACAGCGGTCGAGGTCGGGAGAGCAGAGAAGGTCGGAGAAGTCGCGACGACGACCGTAAGCGTCGGGATGAAGACCGGCGCAGCAGACGCTCTCGCTCTCGGTCCAGGTCACGAGAGAGACGCAGGTCACGCTCCAGGTCCAGAGACCGCAGGTAATGTCCCGAGGAAAGAGGCAGGTCATGCTTCAGGTTCAGAGACTTCAAATAAGGTCCAAAGAGAGAGAGAGAGAGACAGGTGACATTTCAGGTCCAGAGACTACAGGTAAGGTCCCAAGAAATGCAGGTCATGCTCCCAGTTCAGAGACAACAGGTAGGGCCAATAGAGAGAGGCAGGTCATGCTCCAGCAGGTCCAGAGACTACAGGTAAGGTCCCAAGAGTAGGGCAAGTCTAGAGACTACAAGTAAGGTCTCAAGAGTAAGGCAGGTCCAGAGACTACAGGTAAGGTCCCATGAGTAAGACAGGTCCAGAGACTACAGGTAAGGTCCCAAGAGTAAGACAGGTCCAGAGACTACAGGTAAGGTCCCAAGAATAAAGCAGGTCCAGAGACTACAGGTAAAGTCCCAAGACAGATGCAAGCCATGCTCCAGCAGGTCCAGAGATTACAGGTTAGTACGACTTGTTATGATAGTGACTGGCTCTTGATTCATGAAAGTAGTACACCTCTCCGTCCTTGGATTAAACCATGTTACCCCTGTGCAGTGCATTCCATTCCCCTTGGTGCCACAGGACTCTTATGGGTTTAGTGCTTTTTCGTGAATATAATTCCCTGCCTTGGTGGGAAATTGCCGATGTGTATATAAAATAAAAATAAAAAATACACAGAATTTATTGTGACTTTAAAAGAATTAATAGATCAGTGGAAAGAGAAGCGTTGAATTTGTTTATTGTTGGAAGAGCAGGTCAGCAGCAGGTTAACTGCAGGTCAATGGCAGGTCAGTAACTGCTGGTGATCTATCGGTACAGAAAAACTCATAACTGGTCACAGGTATATCTAGGCGTGTTATATACAGTAAAACCTCATTTAACATGTAGGTTATGTTGTGAATATCAACACTTAACTTTATATAACCTCACACTGAGTGAAGAACATATCTGAACAATAGTTGTGTTCATGGCACCTCCAGTAATGCCCCCCAAAAATTGTTTAATATTCTTTGTAAACATCACTACGGTAATGTTATTTAACATAATCATTAGTATCATTACAAGAGTGTTGGGAGTGTTGTAGTCCTAACGGGCTCATCCCTAAACCACTGCTGGTTTAGCACACTTTCTAATGGATGTAATTTTGCAGGTCAAGGTCGAGGTCACGGGACAGACGTCGACGCAGTCGCAGTCGTGAGAGAAAGAGACCAATGGACATCAGGAAAGGTGAGTGATAAATACATAACTCAAAATATCCATGGGAAAGTGGAGAAGAATTCTTCCTCCGTAAGCCATGCATGTTGTAAGAGGCGACTAAAATGCCGGGAGCAAGGGGCTAGTAACCCTTATTCCTGCATAAATTACTAAATGTAAAAAGAAGAAAAACTGTATAGTTTTCTTATTTGGGTCACCCTGCCTTGGTACGAAACAACCGATGTGTTAAAAAAACATCAGTTATGTTTTATCCATCATGCATTGTGTGGGGCAGGAGTTTTTTTTTATATAGTGCACACTTGCCATACAGATCCATTCTCTTATATCTAAACCAAAATTTACTTCTCAAAGCTTATCTGAGTGAGCTGAGCTCATAACATAGAATTATGTGATAGACCCTGACCTAAGTGACGTAGTTCTACGTGACAAACAGTGAAAGGGTTAACACAGGTATCCAGGGGATGTAGCTGTTATTTATTAACTTTCTCATTATTTTTATGTGATTCCAGTTCATATTTAGTTTGGAAATCAATATTGTATAGAAGAACGTGCTTTCAAAGCGCATAATTGTTTTTTTTAGCAAGGGGTTCATTCAAGTGGACAGATGTATATGCATGAATGCACACTTGTGAGCACATATGTGCTCTGTTCTTTATTTCTTTGGTTTACAAATTTTATAAGTTCCTCAGTCTTATTTGTGTATGGAACAGGAAATCTAGATTTTTTGATTTACACCAGTAATTTGGGTTTTAAAGCCATATAGTATGTCACACTTTTGGGCCAACTGAGTCTAATTAAGGGTCATCTGTTAATCTTTTCTCTAATTGGTGCATTCAGTTAGAGTGTTCAGTATTCTGTGATTGACTGTTTGTTGAATTCCACTAAATCTAACATGCATGACTACAGGATTTTATATTTTACGCCATGTTATTTTCTGGTAATGCGTATTGAGCTAGGTTTGTGTGTAACCAGCCGACAGCACCACAGTAACCTAACATAAACTAAACTCTTACATCTAGCAGTGTGAAACTTGTTAGTACTCGTGTTATTATTGCCACTCTCAGTTGGAGGATGATCTTCAGCCATAGTACTCTACCTAGCATGAAACTTGTTAGTACTCTAGTGTTAGTATTGCAAATCACTGGTCTCAGACTGGGCCATGGGGGTGTTGACCCCCCCCCAAACCCTCTCCAGGTATCTCCAGGTAAATGGTTCTTGATTGAATTCCTTTAAATTATTTAAATGTCTTCAACCACAAATGATTCTTCAAAACTTAGATAATAAATTATTAAAATAAATAAGTGTTCATGCGTAGTGAAAGTTGAGCAGACATTTTGACACAAAAGCGAAATTTATAAGAAATGAATGTATTTTGTTGTGGGAAATCCTCTTCATCGGATTCACACGATGAGAGACTAAAGTGAGGCCTCTGAAGAGCATAGGTGAGAGTGATTACCTCCAGGGTACTGTATGACCCCTTCAGAGGACCTGCACTCTGAAGTAGGGCTGGGGATAATTGTAGTTTTGAACTGTTGTACTAGTGTCCCTCTGGCAAGAGAATGATGGAGTGAGTGATGGTGAAAGTTTCTTCCTTTTTGGGTCACCCTGCCTTAGTGGGAGATGGCTGATGTGTTGAAAAAATGCTCTTACTTTTGCTTCATTTTTCTCTTATGATGTTTTTCACCTTTTGTCATTGTTCGCAACACAAGCATTCATTCATGTATTAGCCCTTTCCAAGTCCATGCCATAGTATTACGTGATGACCTCGTGGTCCGTGCCATAGTACTACATGACGAGCTCATTCAGATAAGCTGTGAGCTCACCTGAGTGAGCTGAGTGTGCACCATATATGGTGAGTGTGCACCTTCTAAAATATTCCTGCCCCACACAGTGCATGATGGGAAAAAAACTGTGACAGTGTATTTGGTTTAAAATAACTGGATTGCAGTGTATTTTCAGATGGCGTTGCAGTCTCAGTTTCTTGGTATCATTTGATACAATGGAAGATATCTTACAGAAATAGAGATGATTTTGAGTGGTTTCTGGATTGATATTGAGCTCAAAGTACAGGTCCGCCATCACAAATCCGGCAATCAGTTATTCGGTTCCTTCAGTTATTCGGCACTAATTTTGGCTAGCATAATTTCAAATTTCCAGGGTCGCCACACCAACCTGCTGGTACTGTTTGGTGGCGCTACTTGCTGCATAAGTCACTCCAATTTCTTTTCCCCATTTATTGTTATAACCTGCTTGCTTTTAGCCCTAGCCATGGTTCCAATGAATATAGAAATGCTTCTCATTATGTAAAGCACCTACACAGTACATTATCCATTAAAGATAAGGTGGTTTTGAAGCCACTGTTGGTTGAGCTCAGTATCATGATAGCAGGAGAATATGCTTTATTATTATGCTAATATCAACACTACAGCTTATTGCCTATCACAATTTATCTAATATGACATAATAAACAATATAAGTAACATAAAACATGTTAAATACTCCAGAATAAATAATATTTGGCATAACACCGAGCAGTTTGATGGAGGTATGAAGAAGATATGGTATACAAATACCATATCCTCTTCCTATCCCTGTCTTGGGGGCTTATCTTAGAGAAAACGGAGTATAGCACAGGGCTAACTGTGATATACACTCGTACTGCACCATAAACCTGAAGCAAAAAGTTATTTTCTCTATATAGATTATCACACATAGCAGCATGTGTGTAGAGAACCTAGGATAACCCAAAAAAGTCAACGTGGCTTATTTCTAGTACCTGGCTTGGGTTAGCCATACATGATTTTTGGTAAATATTCGTTGAAAATAAGAAAAAGTTTTGGAGTGAGATTAACAAGTTAAGGAAGCCTTTGGAACCCAAAAGGATTTTTTCAGTTAAAAAAAAGGGGAGGAAAATTTTTTAAATGGAGTTAGGAAAGGGATTGGGTTTATGGAGGGAATTTAAAATTTTGGAAAGGGAAATTTTTTAAAAGTTGATGAAAAATAGGGGAAACTGTGATTTTTGTGTATAGGGCAAGGGGAAAAAACATCTTTTAGGGTGAGGGAAAAAGCCAGTTTTAAGTGTGGGGGAAGTTCGTGAGGCAGTAGGGAAAATGGGGAAGGGGGGAAGGTTTGCCGGGAATTTATGGGGGTAAAGATAGAAATGTTAAAAAACAGGGGGGGGAAAAAAGTTTTTGGGGTGGGGGGTGCAATTTTTTAATAAAAGTTTGGAAAAAAGGGTAAGGTACCTAGGGATTGGGAGGGAGCATTTCATAGTTCCTTTGTATAAAAGGGAAAGGGGCCCAAAAAGGGTGCAAAAAATTTTAGGGGGGTAAATCGTTGGTATACCTGGTAAAGGTATGGTAGGTTATTTTTGAAAAAAAAATTTAAAAGGGAAGATGGGAAATAGGATTGCAGATTTTAACAAGGGGGCTTTTAGGAAAGGAGGGGGTTTTGTGGCCAGGTGTTTACAGTGAAACATATAAGTGAACAGTATTTAGATAAGGCTAAAGAGGTCTTTATGGCATTTATGGATTTGGAAAAGGTGTATGACAGAGTAAATGCAGCAGCGAGGAGACGGTTGGAGGCAGTGGAGATGTCCTGTCTAAAGGCAATGTGTGGTGTAAATATTATGCAGAAAATTCGGAGTGTGGAAATTAGGAGAAGGTGGTGGAGTTAATAAAAGCATTAGTCAGAGGGCAGAAGAGGGGTTGTTGAGGTGGTTTGGTCATTTAGAGAGAATGGATCAAAGTAGAATGACATGGAAAGCATATAAATCTATAGGGGAAGGAAAGAGGGGTAGGGGTCGTCCTCGAAAGGGTTGGAAAGAGGGGGTAAAGGAGGTTTTGTGGGTGAGGGGCTTGGACTTCCAGCAAGCGTGCATGAGCGTGTTAGATAGGAGTGAATGGAGACGAATGATACTTGGGACCTGACGATCTGTTGGAGTGTGAGCAGGATAATATTTAGTGAGTGAAGGGATTCAGGGAAACCGGTTATTTTCATATAGTCGGACTTGAGTCCTGGAAATGGGAAGTACAATGCCTGCACTTTAAAGGAGGGGTTTGGGATATTGGCAGTTTGGAGGGATATGTTGTGTATCTCTATACGTATATGCTTCTAAACTGTTGTATTCTGAGCACCTCTGCAAAAGCAGTGATAATGTGTGAGTGTGGTGAAAGTGTTGAATGATGATGAAAGTATTTTCTTTTTGGGGATTTTCTTTCTTTTTTTTTGGGTCACGCTCCCTCGGTGGGAGACGACCAACTTGTTGAAAAAAAAAAAAAAAAAAAAGTTTGACAGAGTGGAGAGGGGGGCAATGGGGCAGATGTTCCCGGTGTATGGGGTAGGGGGTAGTTACTGAAAGAAAGTAAAGAGTTTTTTAACGGGGATAGTGAGGCCCCAAGTTAGAGTATGAAGGAAAGGGGGGAAATTTTTTCCCCAGTAAAAGTGGGCCCCTTAAAAAGGGATGGTGATGTCACCGGGTTTTTTTTAATAAAAATTTTAAAGATGGGGTTGTAAAAAGAGTAAATGCAGGGTCTTGCAAAAAGGCCCTTTGGATTTAAAAAGAAAAGGGAAAATCACACTTTAAAGGGGGATTTTGTCACATTTGCTTTTTGCTGATGACACGTGCTCTTGGGGAATCCTGAAGAAAATTGCAGAGTTGGGGATAAAATTTGGGGTAGGGTGTGCAAAAAAGAAAAATTAAAAAGTGAATACAGGAAAGAGTAAGGATATGAGGATAAAAAAAAAGATTAGGCGATGAAAAATTGAATACAGATTGGAGGGGGAGAGTAGGAGGAAGGGGGGTTTTATTTAGATATTTTGGGGGTTTGGGCGTGTTTAGCGATGGGTCCCCATGAAAGATGAGGTAATCAAAAAAATTGATGAGGGGAAAAGGGTGAGTGGGGCAAATAGGGGTCTGTGGAGGCAAAGAATTTGTCCTTGGGGGCAAAGAGGGGGAAAGTATGAATAAGTTTTTAAAACCCAAAGCCTTTTTTTGAAATGTAAACATGGGT